AATATTAATATATTTGAGCAGATTCAATATACACTTAAGCGATGAAACCAATTTCCACCTATGATTCTGTTCTTAATTCTTTTTTTTAGCCCTAGTTATTTTAGCACTGGAACAAAAGAAAGGGGTTCCATCAGGACAGAATGTAGATGAAAGACACATGCACCTCTCATGTCAAGAAACCAACATACATTATGTCCAAACCAGTCCACCATAATTCTTTGTGTATATACATGCAAGTATAAAAAAGCCTAATTAAGGACAATACATATGACTTTTTAAATGTTCATATTTTTAAAAACACAGATACACAGGCAAAGAATGGAAATTTAACTGTTTCATTTTTCTGTTGCAGGCCGGATATACAATAAGTATGTCCACTAAAACTGATAATTGTATGTAGGAAAAGGGAATCTTTCTTGAGACCAGTACAGGTAGTCCTCTACTTATGACCCAAAATTGAGCCTAAAATTTATGTTGCTAAGGGAGACATTTGCTAAATGAGTTTTGCCCCATTTTATGAACTTTCTTGCTACAGTTGTTAAGTAAATCACTACAGTTGTTAAGTTAGTAACATGGTTAAGTGAATCTGGCTTCCCCATTGACTTTGCATTTCAGAAGGTTGCAGAAGGTCATCATAGGACCCCAGGACACTGCAACGGTCATAAATATGAGTCAGAAGCAAAATGGAAAAGGCTAGCACATAGCACAATTCAATATGTGGCTAAAGGAGTGGTGTAAAGGAGAAGGTTTTGGATATATTAGTCACGATGTCTGTAGCTGGTCCAATGAAAAGATGTACAAAAGAGATGGTTTGCATCCATCAAAGAAAGGGACTGAGTTACTTGGCTATAAATTCATAGATTTTCTGGAGGAAAATTTAAACTAAACAGCGGGGACAGTGAGTTAATTGATACAGAACAACCCTGTCCCCGGCAATCTAAAAATTATAGGGCTATCAGTGCATGTAAAAATACCAACCTTGCTGTCAAGCAAAATCAAGCCTCTAATAGCGAGTACCACACAAAGTGCACTAACCAAATAGGGGAACTCAGGCCCCACACAGGTTATGTAGAAAGTAAACACAGGGCCAGTCATAAAGGACTCAAGTGTCTATACACCAATGCACAGAGTATGAACAGCAAACTGGGTGAACTAGAAATTCAGGTTAATGAGGGCAGATATGATATTGTTGCCATTATGGAAACATGGTGAGATGAAACCCACACATGGAACACACAGCTAGAGGGATTTAAATTATTTAAAAGAAACAGACCAAATAAAAGAGGAGGTGGAGTTGCTCTCTATATAAGAAATAACTACATCTCAACAGAAATAGAGCACAACAATGATAAAAACTGTCTTGAATGCATTTGGGTCAATATAAAAGGGGGAAAAATAACATTGCCATAGGTGCATATTACAGGCCACCCAACCAAACAGAGGAAATAGATGAACTTTTTGCTAGTCAGCTAACTAAGGTATGTAGGAAGCACAACACAATAGTAATGGGGGACTTTAACTACCCTGACATCAACTGGGAGACAAACTCTGCAGCAAGTGGAAGATCAAACAGGTTCCTTGGAAACCTAGCAGACAACTTTGTCTCCCAAAAAGTAGAGAAGGGAACTAGGGGATTAGCCATTTTGGCTCTAATTCTCACTAATAGAGATGAAATGATAGAAGGTGTTGAAGCCATAGGAATCCTGGGGGGAAGTGATCATGCAGTATTGGAATTCAACATTATGGAAGCACAGGTAATAGAACATAGTCAAACTAGAGTCTTGGACTTCAAGAGAGCTAATTTCAATAAACTTAGAGAGGGCTTGGGAAGTATTCTATGGATGAGAATCCTCAAGGGGAAAATAACTCAAGAAGCTTGGGAAATTTAAAAAAATGAGATAATAAAAGTCCAGTCTAGCACAATACTAACAAAGAGGAAAAATAACAGCTTTCAAAAGAAACCAGCATGGCTGCATAAAGAACTCTCTGATCAATTGAAAGATAAAAAGGGCAAATACAGAAAGTGGAAAGAGGGACATGTAACTAAGTCAGAATATCAGCAAATAGCCCCAGTCTCCAAAGATGAAGTGAGGAAAGCCAAGGCTCAAAATGAACTAAGGCTTGCAACCAAAGTCAAAAATAACAAAAAAGCTTCTTTCAACATGTAAAAAACAAGAAAAAAGTGAAGGAAATGATTGGTCCATTAGTGGGTGGAAGTGGCAAGAAGGTGACAAGCAACAGGGAGAAAGCAGAACTATTTAACTCATTTTTTGCATCTGTCTTTACACAAAGGGAAAAAACAGACCAACCTATCAAAAATAGTGCCATAAAAAACAAAACAGAAACACAAGTTAAGATAGGCAAGAAAATGGTTAGGGAGCACCTGTCCAGCCTAGATGAGTTCAAATTGCCAAGACCAGATGGATTACACCCCAAGGATCTCAAGGAACTGGCAGATGTGATCTCAGAACCACTGAACTATATTTTTCAAAGATTCTGGAACACAGGGGAACTACCAGAGGACTGGAAAAGAGCTGATGTAGTTGCCATCTACAAAAAAGGAAAAAAAATGGACCCAGGAAACTACAGACCTATCAGCCTGACCTCAATACCTGGGAAGATCCTGGAAAAGATAATCAAACAACGAATCACCGAACACCTAGAGGCAAACAAAGTCATTACTAAAAGCCAATATGGGTTTGTCAAAAATAGATCATGCCAGACAAATCTTATTGCATTCTTTGACCAAGTGACAAAATTAGTGGATCAGAGGAATGCTGTGGACATAATTTACTTGGACTTCAGTAAGGCATTTGATAAAGTAGATCACAACCTACTACTTGACAAGATAGAAAAATGTGGGGTAGAAAGCACCACCACCAGATGGATCCGTAGCTGCTGACCAGCCATACTCAGCATGTGGTTTTCAATTGAACCGCATCTACATGGAGGGAAGTGTGTAGTGGGGTGCCCCAGGGCTCTGTTCTAGGCCCAGTGCTCTTCAACATCTATATCAACTATTTGGACGAGGGGATAGATGGGAAACTCATCAGATTTGCAGATGACACCAAGCTGGCAGGAATAGCCAACACTCCAGAAGCCAGGCTTAAGATACAGAAGGATCTGGACAGACTTAAACACTGGGCGCTATCTAACAAAATGAAATTCAATGGTGAAAAAAGCAAGGTTCTACATTTAGGCAAGAAAAACCAAATGCACAGGTATAGTATAAAGGGTACCTTGCTCAATAGTAGTAACTGTGAGAGGGACCTCAGAGTCCTAGTGGACAGTCACCTAAATATGAGCCAGCAGTGTGCTGCAGCTGCCAAAAAGGCCAACACAGTGCTAGGCTGAATTAACAGAGGAATAGAATCAAGATCACGTGAAGTGTTAATACCACTTTACAATGCCTTGGTAAGGCCACACTTGGAATACTGCATCCAGTTTTGGTCACCACGATGTAAAAAAGATGTTGAGACTCTAGAAAGAGTACAGAGAAGAGGAACAAAGATGATTGGGGGACTGGAGGCTAAAACATATAAGGAACGGTTGCTGGAATTGGGTATGTCTAGTTTAATGAAGAGAAGGACGAAGGGGGACATGATAGCAGTGTTTCAATATCTCAGGGGCTGCCACAAAGAAGAGGAAGTCAAGCTGTCCTCCAAAGCACCTGAAGGCAAGGCAAGAAGCAATGGATGGAAACTAACAAGAAGCAACCTAGAACTAAGGAGAAACGTTCTGATAGTTAGAACAATTAATCAATGGAACAACCTGCCTCCAGAAGCTGTGAATGCTCCAATGAGGGATGACATGATAGTAGTGTTCCAATATCTCAGGGGCTGCCACAAAGAAGAGGGTGTCAAGCTATTTTCCAAGGCGCCTGAAGGCAGGACAAGAAACAACGGGTGGAAACTAAGCAAGGAGAGAAGCAACCTAGAACTAAGGAGAAACTTCCTGACAGTTAGAACAATTAACCAGTGAAAGAACCTGCCTCCAGAAGCGGTGAATGCTCCAACACTGGAAGTTTTTGAGAAGAGACTGGACAGCCATTTGTCCGAAATGGTATAGGGTTTCCTGCCTGAGTAGGGGGTTGGACTAGATGACCTCCAAGGTCCCTTCCAACTTTACTATTATTATTATTATTATTATTAATAATAATAATAATAATAATAATAATAATAATAATAATTTTCAGATTTATCCAGACTGTAATGGTATTAATTTCATTTCAGTGCATTTCTTTCCCCCATGAAGTTAATTCGCCACTTCCATCTATGGAAGGGTAGGGATATAGTCCCCTCCCTTCTCACTTTGGAGGATTTCTTGCTTTGGGGATTTTTCCCTGGGAGTCAATTACAAAATGGAAGAGAAAAGATCAATGTTCTCACCCAGTTCCAAGCACGTTGTTCAGTGTTGCTCTAGTTTGTGCTCTTGGACTTTGGCTGCTGGTAGCTTGGGCTAGACACTGATATGCAGCTAGCCTTTCTCCTGTCAGGTTGGAGGGCTTCCCCCAGATCGAGCAAATCGACCGCTGTCATTCCGTGATCATTGGGGTGCCCCTCCTTCTTCGTCGTGTTTCCGGGGTGACTTTAAACCCATTTAAGGTCCCCTGACAGAATGAAACCAGCCATGGGGTGTAGAGCCCCGCAATCCCTCCGTCGTGTTGCTATGGAGCGGAACCGAAAGTCCCAACTCTTCAAATTTTCCTCTCCTGTATCTCCTAATTGATAATTCTGCCCTAAATTAGATTTTCTTTAATATGTTTTCTTTCATAATATTGGTGTTTATGTCAGCACTTCTTTTTGATTGCAGGAGATTATTCATTTATAGGCAATTTAGTCATCATTATAAATGTAACAGCAGTAAATTCCAAGGTCCATTGACATTGAAACCAGCCACTGGATGTTAATCACACTTCCTTGAATAATCAGTTTTTCAGATCCTTACTACCATTAACTACTTTACATTAATAACCTTGAAGCTGTTTCACTGTCTTCTAGGTCCCACAACCCAGCGCCAGATTCCAAATGGACCCTCTCCGGATGAAATTGAAATTCAGAGAAGGTAAGGAAAAAATCTACAAAAATATTAGATTTTCATTTTAAAGATAAACAGAAACCAAATTGCTGCCTATTATTTACAGCTACATATTAATTCAGTCGTTAGGGAATTCATTTAGAAAATATACATATTTGCCTTCATTCATGAAAAAATATATAGTTGCAAAGTTCAATTGTTGAAGCCAATGGTAAAATGATAGAGTTAGAATAACCTATAAAGTCATCTAGTCCAATGTACTGTTTAGTGTTAGGTTTGCTAGAGCATTTATGGCAGGTTACTATCCAAATTCAGAAGATTTCAAGCCCATATCTACTCTTCCTACTGAGACCCTCACAGCCTGCAAATACTGGGATAGCACCTTCTTGTTAACCTTGGGTTTTGATGTACAACTGAATATCATCAAATATCAACTTATGTTGACTGATGATCTCTCTTAGGAGCTGCATATAGATGATAAATAGGAAGAGTAAAACTGTGAGACACCCACAGCAGAGGGCCTTAGGACTTTAGCTCTCCACCAGTATCACTATCAACTGAAATTTTCCCCTAAGGAAGAAGAATAAGCAAAACTGTGTTCCCTCACCCACAAAGGCAAACTGCAAGAAGCCAATGAACTGCTCTGTAGCAAGTAGCTTCAAAGCCTCACAGTTCTGGGGCTGCTTACCATCCTATAGGCAAAGTGCAGATTGGCCAAAGAGCAGATATGGGGGGGATAAGCATTTGAAGGGGAGGCAATCTCTGTCCTTGGAGGAACCAAGGCATGGGGCTTGGAGAGACCAAGCCCAGGATGTCTTGGATTGGGAGGGGGGGTCCCTCGGCTAGCAACTAATAAATTTCATTAACCATGGTAATAGGGAATGCCAGGACCGTTGTCACTAAGTGATGCCATCATATGACATTGCACTTTATGCTGCATTTCTTAGCAATGGAAATTCTGGTCCCAATTACTGCATAACTCAAGGCCTACCTGTATCGCTTTCTATCCTTGAGTGAAGAATAGGATGATTTACTGTTAATAGAATTTGAGAAGTAGGCCATAAAACCTCTGAGGGACAAATGAAATTGCACATAAGATATCTTGATATGCTAAAATGTGATTTGGACAAGCCCAGCACCAAACTCCTTATGGAAGTATTTGAGAAAAAGTTTTCTATGCTACACAACACAATAAAAGAGATGAATGAAAAATCTGATAAAAAATTTGAATTATTAGTATCAGATTTAAAACAAACTAAAGATGTTAAAAATATCCAGATTAGATGAGATGAGACAGACACAAGGTTAGATCTTCTTAACCAACATTTACTGTTATTGGATTTGAAACAGAAGGACTCTTTTTTGCACCTCGGGAATTCCTGAACAAATTCGCAACTTAGGTGATGTAATTGATAATGCCAAACCAGTCTTATTTCATTCTTTGATAAAGTGACTAAACTAGTAGACCAGCAAAATGCTGTGGACATAGTGTACTTAGATTTCAGTAAGGCATTTGATAAAGTAGACCACAACCTACTCCTTGGTAAGCTAGAAAAAGATGGAATAGACAACATCAGCACCAGATTGATCTGTAACTGACTGGCAAACCGTATTTAGTAAGTAGTCCTCAATAGTACTACATCCACATGGAGAGAAGTAAGCAGTGGGGTACCACAAGATTCCATCTTAGGCCCAGGACTCTTCAATATCTTCATAAATGACTTAGATGGGGGAATTGAAGGGGAACTTATCAAATTTGCAGATGACACCAAACAGGCCGGAGTAGCCAACACCCCAGAAGACAAACTCAGGATCCAAAAAGATCTTGACAAACTTGAACAATGGACCCTATCCATCAAAATGAATTTCAGTGTGGAGAAAAGCAAAGTTTTACATTTAGGCAGGAAAAATCAAAGGATTGGGCAAGACCTGGCTTAAAAACAGTAACTGTGAGAGGGACCTCTCATCATAGTGGACGATCACTTGACTATGAGCCAGCAGTGTGCAGCCACAATCAAATAAGCTAATACAATCCTGAGTTGTATAAACAGAGACATATAATCAAGATCATGCGAAGCATTAGTACTGCTTTATAAAACCCTAGTAAGACCACACCTGGAATACTGCAGCCAATTTTGGCCACCATATCACAAAAAAGATGTTGAGAGTAGGAAAAAATTCAGAGAAGAGCAACTAAGATGATTAAAGGCCTGGAGACTAAAACATATAAAGGGTGGCTGAAGGATTTGGGTTTGGCTAGTCTAAAAAAAAGAAGACATAGGAGAGACATGATAGCAGTATTCCAGTATCTGAGGGCTGCCACAAGGAAGAGGGGGTCACGTTATTCACCAAAGCATCAGAAGGCAGGACAAGAAACAATGGTTGGAAACTGATCAAAGAGAAAAGCAACCTGGAATTAAGGAGAAACTTCCTGACAATGAAGACAATTAACCAATGGAACAGCTTGCCTTCAAAAATTGTGGGTGCTCTATCACTGGACGTTTTTAAGAAGAGGCTAGACCACGGGTCAGCAACCCGCGGCTCTGGAGCCACATGCGGCTCTTTCAGCCGTCTCCTGCAGCTCCCTGTCCTCAGCCACCATGTGCAGTCTGAAAAAAAAAGTGGGACTAAAAAAGTTCAACCAATCAATTCAAACTTCTCATGAAGTTTGAATTGATTGGTTGAACTTTTTTGGTTTGTGGGACTGCCCACAAACCTCTTCTTCATACTGCATGTGGTGGCCGGGAGGATTGCTGGAAAGGTGTCCTTGGTAAGAAGCCGCAGGTGGCTGGTCTTGGGGTGCCATTTCCCTGCCCAGCGGGTCTCCCCTTGCCCTGCTCTGCCGCCGCCTGTTAGTCAGGGGGGGTTGCCGGAGGTCTCTGTAGCTTTCCCTCTCCGCCTGCGCCTTTTGGCCATCTCACAGGCAGCGGATTCCCCCGCAGTGCCTGCCTGGCCCTTTCCCCACCTGTTGCATGGTCTTCTTGGCCGTCCTCCTGTTGTTGCTGCCGCGGGTCGCGCTGAGCGAGGCCGAAGAGACGGCGGCGAGCAGGCAGCCGTGCCACTTTGCCATCCTCCTGCTGCCGCCACCCTCAGTGCTGCAGAAGAAGGAGACCTTGGGCTGCGAGGGCGGCGGTGGGTCAGGACCCTTCTCATCCCTGTGGCAGCATTTCCCGTTGCTAGCGTGGCTGCTCATGGGTGCACCCGGCCTTGGCACCCTCCTCTTGTGATGGCGAAGTGGCTGAGGACATGGCGGGGGCGGCGGCCGGGGGCAGCGGGGACCCCCAATGATGCTGCAGTGGCCGCCACCAGAGCTGCTTCCTTCCATCCTGCTCTTTTGGCTGAGGACATGGCTTGGCTGCGCTGCCACCGCCGGAGCCACTGCCTCCTGTCCTACTCCTCCTCCCTGCCCGTTTGGCGCTGTCTGCCTTTCGTTCTCTCTCTGTCCTCACCTGGAGAGAAAGAGAGGGAGGAAAGAGAGAAAGAGAAAGAGAGGAAAGAGTAAGAGAGGAAAGGGAGAGAGAGAAAGAGAGAGAGGAAAGAGAAAGAGAGAGGAAAGAGAGAGAAGAGAGAGAGGAAAGAGAAAGAAAGAGGAAAGAGAAAAGAGAAAGAAGAAAGAGGAAAAAGGGGGAGAGGAAAGAGAAAAAGAGGAAAGAGGGAAAGAGAAGAAAGAGAGAGGGAAAGAGAAAAAGATGAAAGAAAGAGAGAGGAAAGAAAGAGAGAGAAAGAAAGAGGAAAGAGAGAGGGAGAGGAAAGAGAAAAAGAGGAAAGAAAGAGAGAGGAAAGAAAGAGAAAGAAAGAGGAAGAGAGAGAGAGGAAAGAAAGAGAGGACAGGGACAAAGAGGAAAGAGAAAGAGAGAGGAAAGAAAGAGAGGAAAGAGAAAGAGGGAGAGAAAAAAAGGAAAAAGAGGGAGAGGAAAGAGAAAGGGGGAGAGGAAAGAAAAAAAGAGGAAAGAGGGAAAGAGGAAAGAGGGAGAGGAAGAGGGAGAGGAAAGAGAGAAAAAGAGGAAAGAAAAAGAGAGGAAAGAGAGAGGAAAGAGGGAGGGAGAGAGAGGAAAGAGAGAGACAGACAGAGACCTTTTTGACATCTAAAATGAAGATAACACTGCATATATCCTTTTTTACCTTTATTTTATACACACACACATACATACACGCACACACATAGAGGGACGAGATAGAAAAACGCCCACACAGCATGAACAAACGAGATGATACCTCCCGCCTACCAGCCATTTGGAAACCCGCCCTTATTGACAAACGACTCCCTAACACAAAAAATGACACCAGACCCACACTCACAAAAACCACACAGGATGTCACCACCACACATCCACGCAAAAAGCAAACCCAAAGCCACACCGATGATGAGACACGACCACAAACCAGAAGCCAGACCACAGCTGCATCATTAGCCACCTTAAACTCCTCCAATCCATACATGAAGCAAACTGACACCCACCATGAAGATGAGGCACGACCACGAATGCGAAGCCAAAAAATAGCAAGGCAGCTATCTTAACTCCCCCTGCAACTCAGACTAACCTGAGCACAACAAAGCCCCCACCCAAATAGAACACTCCCCCAGCCAATCGGAGCACAGCCAACCCCCCAGCCAATCAGAGCACAGCCAACCTCCCAGCCAATCAGAGCACAGCCAAGCCCCTAACCAATCAGAACACACCTCCACCCAATCAGAACACAGCCAAGCTCCCACCCAATCAGTTCATACCCCCACTGGCAGTTAAAAGGAAGAAACAGCTAAGACCACACAATGCTCCTCGAAGCTGAAAACACTAGCCTGAAGATGACGAATGGGACTTCGTCGAAACGTCGCATGGGACTTCGTCAAAACGTCGCCAAGACACTTCCAATTTTACGTGGGAGAAAACCCGAATAACCAAAGTATGTGTATATGTATGTGTGTGTGTGTGTGTGTGTGTGTGTGTGTGTGTGTGTGTATATATATATATATATATATACACATACATACATACATACATACATACATACATACATACACACCTTTA